TTTATAACTGGAAATATTAGTAGAAACTATCCCTACAGGAGTAAGAATACAGATGATTTTACTTCCTTCTTTGTGATTTTCCTAATTTATAAAATTCACTACAAATACTATACATCATGTTTAAAATCTGTAGCATAAATTAAAACCTCCACATCCTAGAGGATCCATCCACCAGTATGTGAGAGCAGGACCCACACCACATTCTGAAGAGAAGCTTGGCCCTGCCCTTGGGAACCGCCCACTTCAGCCACTACAGGCAGATCCGGGTGCCTTCTGTTCAGGTGTATCTTTGCTGGGCTCCTCAATTTTTATAATAAAATGTCACTATTTCCTCCAACTCAATTGCTGTTGAAGTTCAGTTCTTGACTCTCACTTAATTGCCAGCAAAGAACAGCCACAACTCGGGTATTTATCAGAGAAGTCCAACTTGAATGCAGTATTATTCTTAAGAGCTACACTGAGGAAAGCAGTTTAGATGGACTGTTGTCTGAAGGACATGGTATTTTATCAGGGTTTCAAATAGGAAGTGCTACTGGCATTTTGAGCAGTAAGACTTGGTTGTATGGAACTTTCGTGCACACTACGAAGGGCCTCAAACACCTTCACACCTAGATGCACGATACTGGTATCACTATAGGTTCACGTTTTCAAGGTGCACTGTGGCCTGATACCACCTGCTGACATGAGGGCCTCTGAATTTGTTTCTCTAAAAGCATTCATGACATTTTGCCATAAAAAGTCATAGGAGAAATATGTCTCTGGTCTCAGAACCAAGACTAGTTGGGAATCACCTAACTGCAAGGAAGGGAGGGTACAGCTCAGTGGTAGAGTGCATGCTTAGTGTGCACGAGGTCCTGGGTTCAATCCCCAGTGCCTCCATTAAAATAAATAAATAAACCTAATTACCTGGCCCCCCCCCAAAATAATCATCTGACTGGGTTCCTATTTTTTTCCTTGCCCTGATTTGCATATTTCATTTTATATTTACCTTATTGTCCTTTAGATACCTCTAAAACCACCTAAATTTTTTTGTTAAAAAAAAAGCAGAGAATACATAAGTATTCAGGAAATGATAAAACTTAAGAAATGGGAGTGAATAAGACTAAGGAGAGAAGGATAACTTCAGCAACAGTAACAGGAAGAAAAAACAATGTAAGCCATAACACAAGGTCTGTGAGGGTGATCGATCACAGAAATCACAGCGGACTGGTGAACACACCAGACTCAAGAGTCAGAATTACACTGAGGAAACAAGTCTGCCAGAGAAGGACAAATACTGTATGATTTCACTAATATGTGGAATCTGAAAAACAATAAGTAAACATAACAGAACGTAAATATAGTTATAGATACAGAGAACAAGCAGCTGGTGGCCAGAAGAGCTGGGGTCTGGGGGAGGAAAGAAATAGGTGAGGGAGATCAACAGGTGCAAACTGCCAGTGACAAAATAAGTGAGTCACCAGTATGAAATGCACATGTGGGGAATATAGGCAATGTGCTATCTCTGCTTGGTGACATCTTACCCAGACTTACTGTGGTGGTCATTTTGAAATGTATGGAAACAGCAAATCACTACGTTGTGCAGTGGGAACTAACACAGTGTTGTAGGTCCATTACACTTCAAACCAACTCATAGGGAAAAAAAATCAGATTTGTGGTTCCCAGAGGCAGGGGATGAGGGGAGGGGGGGCTGGCTGAAGGTAGTCAGTAAGTACAAACTTCCAGTTACACGATACGTAAGTACTAGGGGTGTAATGTACAATGTGATAAATATAATTAACACTGCTGTATCTTATACATACGAGCTGTTAAGAGAGTAAATCCTAAGAGTTCTCATCACAAGGAGTATTTCTTTCCTATTTCTTTGATTATGTATCTATATGAGATGATGGATGTTCACTAAACTTGTGAGCATCACTTCACGATGCATGCACGTCAAGTTTTTGTGCTGTACACCTTAAACTCACAGTGCTGCATGTCAAGCGCATCTCAGTAAAACTGAAAGGAAAGAAAAGAATTGGAAGAAGTGGGTTTGGGTACTGACTCTGTCAGTAACTAGATAAGTGATGCTGTGGAAAAACAGGCAGAAGAGAAGCTAGTGAAGAACCTCTCATAGACACTTCGAGGAGGCACAGCACAGAAGTCCAGCAGACCCGCTCTGTAGTCACACTACCTGCGTTCAAACCCCACCTGCACTTACCCTTGGGGACCTTTAGCAACCTAACCTCTCTAAGGCTTGTTTTTCTTATCTGTAAAATGGTAATGAAAATGGCCTTGTCGTAGAATGAGATTTTTGCGGAATTTTTCTCTCGTATTATCAAGCACTTTATATGAATGTACAGGTGAGGAAGCTGAAGTTGGGAAGAGGTAAGTAATTTGCACAAGGTCACAAAGCAGTAAGTCTCAGAGCTACGCCTGGAATGTGTGCAGTCCATCTCCAGATGTGCACGCTTAACCACTATCAAATATTGATGCTAAAATGAACTAATGCATGGAGTACACCAAGCACTGTGCCTGGCACACGGTGAGCCTTTAATAATTGCTGACTCATTAAGCAAATGAAAAGTCCCTTACAAGTCTAAATGATCTTTTAATATCATAGAAAACCTACCCTCTATCTCAAATATGGTTTTCATTTAGGTAATGTCATCAAACTTGTAGGTGATACAAAGGAAGAATGAATAAGTAAAACAAGAAATTGCAGAATGAGTATTAAATTCAACAAGAATAACTAGAAAGCATGGGAGCTGAGCTCAGAGATCTATGTATAAATACACTCATCATGATGTTTGTTATTAAAGTTTAAAAAGGAAATGAGCTAAATATCCAAACGCAAAAAGGTGATCAAACAAAATATGGCATATCTACACACACAAATTAAAAAACCTGGATTAAAATATGACAGAATTTCACCGTTAGTCTTCTTTTGGTGACATGATTTGTATGAGTGTTCCTATTTCTTTATGACCCTTAGTTTTCCAAATTTCCTACAATAGAAATATATTGCTATATTAATCTGAAAAAATAAATATTCTTTTTAATTGAAATAAGTCAGTATAAAGCCTTACATATCACTTTAACAAATCTATTTTATAAAAACAGTAAGAAAGGGTCTGACAGCAAATCTCCCTTCAAGGATCTATTTACCTGTAAAGGTCGGGGATTTCAGTGGTCCACATCCTTACTATGTGCTAGGTGCTAAATTTTTTTTCAAACTATTTTAATAAGTATCAGATGGAAAGTGCATAGATTACTAGAAGTCCATGTTGGTCAAGCATTTGTAGAATTAATAGATTCAACTCTAGGGACCAACAAAAATATTGACCATCTGGGATGCACACAGATGAGGGCAGCAGACCTAGTGACGCGCTGCTGATCAAGTCTCGAGAAGAGCAGACAGAGCACGCAGCTCTGGTCAGCCCAGAGGCAAGAGGACCAAGACAGACAGGAGGCTGCAGGAGACACCAAGTATGTGAGAGATGTCATCTGGGAGAAGGCTGGGTGAGTTCCATGTCTCTACAAATGAGTAGTGGGGAAAGTCACAGGGCAGAAGAATGGAGTGCCCAAAATACAGGGGAAGTTTCCTAGCAAGCGGAAATAATCAGCAATAAATCAGGCTGCTCTGTAAAGGAACGATATTCCTTTACTGTGTGGGAATCATGTTGCCTGAAGACCAATTAAGAAGGGCGGGGTCACAGTGCTGTCAGCAAGGAGCTCACCCGATTTCCGTCACCTGAAGACGAGGACCAGAAACACGCACAGGGAAAAGCCCTAGCGAACCCTTGGAGATAGACCTCTCCCTTTCTTGCTCTGTCTTGAAGATCCTAAGCCAGTAACTGGATGAGTGTAGGATGGAACCCCCCTCTCAAACACAGGCCAAAACCCGGGAGGAAAGAAACCCCAGTGAGGGGCTTGAGAAGTTATGCCAACCCACTGGGGCTAAAGATGGAATTAGATGGGGTCTTGAATCCCTGAGAGTAACCCAGGTAGAATGTGATCAGGAACCCCGCTCTCCATGTCAATTTGCTATATTTTGTTCTCCACTTATATTTGCTTCTGTTTGCCCTTTAGTGTTTAGTGAAGATTTGCAAAGTCCCAGGCAACCCTGTCTCTGATAAGAGATTTCTGCCCTCACCTGAGCAGGACCATTAAATCCCTTATATATGTAAAGCACTATATTTATACATGTATAAACTCCTTGATCTTCACAACAACCTATGCGGGATGTACTATTACTATCCTCATATTACAAGTAAGGAAATTGAGGCACAGAGAGGTTATGTGATTTGCCCAAGGTCCACAGACGGTCATGAAGTGGATATTTAAAATATGAACATGAAGAAACTTTCATGGTCAGAGCTGTGGCTAGTCTTTCAGGAAGGATTCACTTTAAGCTGTTCGATATTATTTGGTAGCAATTTATATATTCGCTAAGTGGCATGCAAGAATTTTTTCTCTCCTCCTTCCTCCTCACTACTCCCACCAGCTCTCCTAATCATGCTTCTGCATGTGCAAGGAGCTAGGAAATACTAGACAGCATTCTGATTCAACACGCATCCAAGAATCCAGCTGTAACTGCTGGCCTAAGAAGTGCACTGAAAAAGAATCTATCTGTCCGTGATTAAAATGCTAAGACTTTAAACTTTAAGCTCAGGCAGTATCCTAAAGAAACAGAATATGATATTTTTGTGGCCAACTGTTCACCAATTAAGAAGAAGTATGTTTGACTTTAACACTGAGGAAGACATCTCAGGAGGAATTTAGTCATTAATAAATGTGTTTTAGGAACGGTGACTTCTGTGTGCTCTTAGCAACATCAAAAACTCCTTCTGCTTTTAGGCTGATCTCAATTACCTGTGTCTGTGGTTTTGCATAATGTAGCAAAATTCTTCTTGCTGTTTTAAACCAATCATGCATAGCTTGCTTTTGTTTACTCCTCTTAATGTGCTGATTTAACCATATATGATAAAAACACAGGGAACTCCAGCAGCCACACGTACCTGTGATCCAAGTGGTGAATGGAGAGAATCACTCCGGAATTTAAGTGGGTCTGTTTCAGGGTCACCAAAATAGTAAATTCATGTTTATTTCTCAGCTTCTGAAAAAACCGTTCGGCTGTAGCAGTGGATGCTTTTATACTTCTGGGAGTATCTGAAAAAAGAAACAAACAGTAAATAGACTAGAATTTGGCTTTATAAAGTATCTTCTCCATGCAACAGCTTTCAGAAAACATTATCGAGTAATTGCTGAAAAATATCAAGTTCCAGACTCCCCTGGTAAAAATCTTTCAAAAAGACTTTTTGTTACATATAATACAGGACAGTAAAGCACATGAATTACTGAGCCTGTGTTTCAAGGCTCTTTTTTTCAAAAATGCCTTTGAGGCAAAGAATCAAAGAACCCTGTTTGAAGAAATGAGCGTCCAAGTTTTCTCCTTACATGCTTCCTATATCCTAGACACCACAGCCTCACGGTCAGTGACACGGTGCCAACAAGAAACAAAAGAAGGTCCTTTGGAGAAGAGGTCCTAAAAGACCACAATAGTGTAGTTTAGCTTTCCCGACACCTCCCGACAGAAAACTGGATGTAAATATATGTGCCACCTTCCACACTGATATCTGTAGCCAGAAGGCTTGCTATAAATAGATTTTTTTAAAAGATCATTGAAATTAGTCACTCTCAGCCTTCTGTGCAGTGGATGAAACATTAAAATCAAATTATCTTACCCTATTTTGGAAAGAAATACATAGAATTTAATTCCCACGTCCCACTCCCCAGGCTTAGAGAAAGCTCAGACAAGAGGTTGAACTGGGAGAACAGAAGGTTTTGCCCCACACTTTCTTCTGGTTTAGTCTTGCATTCCAACCTCTGGACCCAGAGGATGTGGAAGAGATAGCAAAGGATAGAACTGGATTTAGTGGACAGGAAAAACCTATCATTCAGGCCAGCTGCTAACACAGCCTAAGGCTCTCCTAATTCATCGAATGTGCAAAGGATTGCTGGGAGACAGAAAAACAGTTTCTGTTGTTATCAAATCATCCCCCTCTTTTCCATGCTTTAGACTAGCTAGGCCAGATAAAGAGTTCTCAATGTGGAAACTACTGGCATTTGGAGGGAACAATCCTTCCAGTGGAAGACTGTCCCATGCACTGCAGAACACTGAGCCCACCTGGTCCTTGCCCAATGAATGCCAGTGGCACCCAATCCAAGTCATCGTGATGACTCAAAGTTCTCCCACACATTTCCAAGCATTCCCTTGGGAACATTGCAGCAGAAATCAGGTTAAGAACCACAACTGTGATGAAACAGAGATTACAGGATGAATCCAAAGCTCCCCGCCTTTCCAGTCCCACAAATTTATGGAATAAAATGTAATCGTCTGGTCTATGTCTATCCCTGGGGATGCACAGACATGGAGAAGCCCTCAAGACACCCATAAAATAGAGGAAGGGACAAACAATCCCAATACAGGGAAAGAAACGATGTACAGGTAGGTACAAAGTGTGGCTGGATTACAGATGGAAAAGTAGCCAATACTGTCTGGAAGGAAGGGTCTCATAAAACAGATGCATTTGATCAGGAGTCCAGCAGGTAAAGAAGAGAAGGGAAAGCTTTCCAGTCCTAGGAATAGCTTGTGAAAAATCACACACGTGTGAAAGGGCACAACGTGGCTGAAACAGCAAAGAGCAGACACTGGAGGATGGGGCTGGGTAGCAAAGCTGGACAACGCAGGCAGAACCTTGTGTGTCAATGTAATGGACAAGTTGTTTCTGTCACCATTATCAGTTTTTTCTCTGAAAAAATAAGGAACAATAACTCTTATCTACCACGGAAAAATGATCCCTCCCCACTCTTAATCCGTAACTTCCTCTATATGAGAAAGACCCTGACCAGTCAGAGCATCACCTACTCCCGTCCACAGTAACTGATACAGAAGCAGACACCAGTCCAGGGCAATGAAGTCAGGCATGGGACATCTGTTCAAAGCTAAAAGAAAAAGAAACTCTCTCATTTCCAAAAAGAAACATCCTCAGCTGCACTCAACATACACAACTCAGAAGCATCACAATAATCTGCAATTTCTGCTACAGTAAATGTAGCAGTTTCTCCCCAGACTCCATTAGAGTGAAGACAGACTGTGGAGACAGGCCAGACAATTCCTCCAGGCTCCAAAACCTTCCGCTTCCTCAAGCAGGCAAACAGAATGTGATTCTGTGCGAATAATTTATCTGGTATTAACTTTTCATCCACTCCAATGTATATACAAGTGAATCATTCACAAACTTCATTACTTTGTTTTAATTTGATAGATAAAAGAAGATTAAAATTAAATTATAACTATTTATTATGCTCCCTCCCCTGCCCGTTTCCAGGCAGGTGGAGTTTGAACAGCATCCTTTGTTTGGCTGAGCTGGGTGACAGGGATGCAAATGAGAGAAATAGAGGAAGGACCACATTGAATAGAGAAGTGATGATCAGAGTCACAGAGAGATGCGAAGGTGTGGCCCGGGGAGCTTAAGCTCTTCGAGTGAAAGAAAGTTAGAAATGGTGGCAACTGCCTCACAAGGTAGAACTTTAGAAAAGAGATGCTTACAGAGGATTTTTAGGAAGCTTTGTCATTTGGTATGCAAAGGACACCATCACTAAATCTCTCTATTATTCTCCATTGATTCTGGAGCCAGATTTGTGGGAAGAGTTGAGAGGTAGTATTGTTTTTGTGGAGTTTTGTTTGTTTTGTTTTGTTTTCAGATGAAATGACATGTGAAGACTGACCTTACGAAGAAAAGAAGAAGGATCTAAAAAAATGGATTACATTTGAGTATCATTGGTAAAAATGTAAATCATCATGATTGAAAACATGATGAAGGAATGTGTAGTTAAAGGGAAGCCAGTTTTTAAAAACTGGGCAACCTGCATTTTGGAAAACTTTCTCTGGTAGCCATGTGGGAGTTCATTTGAAGAAAAGAATGGAACACAGAGAAAACTCTTGAGAAACTTTGGCAACTCAGGCTGAATTGAATTCACTGAATTTTTTGTTTTTTTCCCACATTTTAAACATCACATTTTGACATCCTTAAATGCCCTTTCCCAAATCAAATTGACTGTGGGCTTTCGCCAGTGATGGGGATACAGAGCTCCTGGTCCTTCCACTGACTGTCAGGCACTTTGATTCATGAAGCACCGAGTGAATCTGGATCTCTGCACTGAGATGCTTAAGGAGACCCGCAGGGAGGAACCATCCTCCGTCCCACCAGGGTGGTAAGTGGGGTCCTACAGGGTCTCCATCCAGATTAGACTGAAGCTACTCACTCACGCAGGGACACAGTTCAGGACACGATCTCTCGTACAGTCTAACCTCTCCCCCAAGACCATTACCTCCCTATTTTGCTCCCTCTATGGGGGTTAAGGTGACCTGCAGGAAGGAGGAACCCTCCAGCACAACTCTGGTCAACAGAAGCCCCATTCAACTCATGCTGTAGAGAATTAACCAAGTTCACTGCACAGAGGTTTAAAAACTGGGGCTTGCAAGAACCTGGCATCCCCAGCCCAGGGGCCCAGGACACAGGTGACGATAAGTTACCCGAATGTGACAGACAGAGCACCTGCAGGAAGTGTAAGTCATGACTACACCATAATTTTCAGCTTTCTGTCCACAGAACACCATCTCCCACCTAATGTATCATTCCCTTTAAAAACATGTTTTTCAAGAATTCATTATGACTGAGTCTGGGAAGGACTTGATGCGGGCCAGAACTCTGGGAGTAGCTCAGAAAAAATGAGGAGGAGAATTCAAAGGATTTTTAGAAAGCAGAATTTGGTCACTGATGAAAAACCTGCAAAAGGCAACAGAAAGGGAGAAAACTGAATCCAAAGTTTCTAGCTTGAGAGAAAAAATGAAAGAAAGGCAGTGGGAGCACAGTGGTCCCCAGATGGGATTTCAGTTTAGAAATGGTCATTCTGAGGTCATTTCTGAGGACATGCATGTGGAAGTCCAGTAGGAGGCAGGACTACAGAATCTGACCTCAAGAGAGAGGTCACGGTTGGCCATATGGATGCAGAGGTCATGGGAATATGGCACCTAAAGCCCTAGGAGGGCTTGGGTAAATCATGGAATCACAGGAGCGAGAGGAGGATAAAAGGATGGACCATAAAGACACTACATTTGTAGCACAGCAGGGAAAACACATATAACTCTATACATGTACTATACATAATGCTGCACATCTGGTACCATGCAACATTTGACCTTCAAAAATGTATAAATAATATATTTTCCCCTTTGAACCCACATTCCATTTTATTCTCACAAAGCTTGACAAGGGCAACGATTACTACTGCCTTTTTCAATGTGAAAAGCAAGTCAAAGAACAATCCTGTGATTCACCCAAAGGCACCCGGCATGCTAGATGTGTAATGCGGATGATAATTTCTGGTTCAGTATTCCTTCCACTAAATTGCACTGCCTCCTGAACGTGGCACCCTTACCTGTGCTCAACTGCCACTCACAAACAGAGGCAAATTCGAGAGTACCAACACAGAAAATAATCCAGAAAAACAGTAATTACATAAGATAATATTTTTAGTTTCTTAAGTGACTCGCTTAGCAGTGATTTTAAAGAAAGGTCACCTTCTCCATTTGCATTTCTGCTTCCCAATTTGTAAAGTTAGCATTCCTGCTTTTGCTTTTCATCTCAAGGATTATATAATGTTGGGAGAGACTTCTGTGGTTCTGTGTATTATTACTAGAAAACAGCTCTAGTCCTCACCAGAAAATCAAGTCAAAGAAATCACCATGTGAGACTTAATTTTACTTGATTTTTGTTATCATTTTCATTTTCAAGATTTATAAATTAAGTTCAGTTATTTATTGAGCAATTTTTGAGCAAGATCTGCTGTTAGGAACAAATAAAAAAATTAAGTGCGGTGGTTATGAGAACCAACTCTGAACCCAGAATAATGTGGCTCCAATGCCAGCTATGCAGATGACGAGCTGCACTCCGCATTAACAACACCATGTGGTGGCTTTTAGGAGTAGGATACATTATTATTAATCTTACAAGCAATGAGACTGTAGAACCCACTAAAAAAATCAGAAGCCGTAAGACCCTTGTGGCAACTTTCTGAGCTTACTTTCATCCTAAGTAACCCAG